TTTTATATATATTTGACGATTTTCTAATTTTTTGCGCAATTTTCTTAATTTTTTCTTTTATAAGAACCTTCTCCTGACAATAACAAATACGACAAAAAAAGAATTAGCGAAATCGGTTCAGCCGTTCACGCGTGATACCGTGACCAAGGGAAATAGGGATTCATTTTTATATATATTTGACGATTTTCTAATTTTTTACGCAATTTTCTTAATTTTTTTTTTATAAGAACCTTCTCCTGACAATAACAAATACAACAAAATTAAGTTTTTCTTCCATAAAAACTTTCTCCTGACAATAAAAAACACAACAAAAAAGGAATTAGCAAAATCGGTCTAGCCGTTCATGCGTGATGCCGTGATCAAGAGAAATAGGGATTCATTTTTATATATATTTGACGATTTTCTAATTTTTCGCGCAATTTTGCAATTTTTTCTTTTATAAGAACCTTCTCCTGACAATAACAAATACAACAAAAAAGAATTAGCGAAATCGGTCCAGCCGTTCACGCGTGATGCCGTGATCAAGAGAAATAGGGATTCATTTTTATATATATTTGACGATTTTCTAATTTTTCACGCAATTTTCTTAATTTTTTTCTTCCATAAGAACTTTTTCCTGACAATAACAAACACAACAAAAAAAGAATTAGCGAAATCGGTCCAGCCGTTCACGCGTGATGCCGTGACCAAGGGAAATAGGGATTTATTTTTCTAATTTTTTAATTTTCCGCGCGATTTTCTTAATTTTTTCTTTTATAAGAACCTTCTTCTGACTATAACAAATACAACAAAAAAAGAGTTAGGGAAATCGGTCCAGGCGTTGTTGAGTTATGTGCTTACCAAAATCTTTTGCAATTCATTTTTATATTATAGATATAGAAAGATATGGGAAAAAGAAAAGGGCCGTTTTTAGGGTTTTCCCGGAAATTATTCGAATTTTTCTCGCTGTAAAAACCATCCTTGGACTTCAACGAACATTTAGAAAAAGAATTGGTAAAATTGGTCCAGGCGTTGTTGAGTTATGCGCAACACATTTTGCGATTCATTTTTGTGTTTTATCATTATATAAAGTACAACCAGGTTGTTAAAGATATGTTTTTCAAGCAATCGCAAATAGCGATAGGTTGTAGGGGTTTGAGGTTGCGATATCTATTGTAGAACGAAAGTGGTATCGGTTGGGACCGCTAGGTCTCATTGAACGCCGCTTAACAGTTTAAATATTTTATTAAACTAACACGTTTTGTAACTTTGCAGGAAGTTTGATATGTGTATTCTGAATTATTTTGAAGTAGGACTTGTATTTGATATGATTACTTTTTGAGGAGCTCGAGGACTCTATTCTTTGATTATTAATGACGCAATTATGTCGAGATAAATTGCTAAATACACAAAAAATTTAAAAACAATAAAAATAGGCGTTAATTTATTAAGGTTAAGTTATTTTTAATGAGATTATTTCTAGATACCTAGATGTAACTTTAATTATTAAATACACAATAAAATAACTTTTTAAAAGATCTTTTATTTTCGGTTTGTTTGAACACGTTCTACGAGATTATTAGCATATGTTTTGACAATAAATATATTTGGCGGTAGCCGTTATTAAATATTACATCTATATTCAAGTATGCGAGTTGCTGTCAACATAGGTGAATATCAAGCAACATGCATGATAGTCGATATGAGACAGTAAGTGAAATTAGTTGATTTATTTGATTTTGGTTGGATCTAATGATGAAATAAATTGCAATGTGATTGGTTATATTGTCAAAGTTGATAGGCGGGAAAATAATCAAGGGTAATATACTCAGACATTGATAATAGTCAGCTATTTTTAATAAATCTAAATCTCGAGAATATTTTAATATCAATTTGATGAGACATAATTTTTGGCATTAATAATCTAACCAATTAATTATTAATACCAAAATTATGTAGAATGGGTCGTGCTTGATTTATTTTAGCAGTGTTAATTTTAATATACATGTCCGTCTGCATATTGGTCACTGCTGCTATAAAAATGTGTATGTTTGGGTGTGATTCACAGGTATCTGTTGTTCGGCAAAGAGAAGCAGTGTTAGAAGCCCATATAGAGGAAGGAAAAGTAGATTCTTCATCAATATATGTATCTACTAAATAATCTGCAAATTTTGTGACCTTCTCACAAACTGGTTGTTTCCAAGCAAAGTCAATTGCGAACGCATCTCCAACTTCCTCAGGATTTAATAATGTCAGCCCAAACAAATGACGTAGCCATTTTCCGGTATGAGAATCAACGTCCTTGTATTCTGTAGCTAGACCCATTTGTTGAATCTTTCTCCACCTAGAAAACCCAAATAATCATAACAAATAAAAATGAAATTATATGACTAATTTATTGCTTCCTCAAAAAAGTATAGGTAGGTGCCAAATTTTTTAAAACAAAAAAAAAATTATAAATTTTTTTAGCGATGGATAAAAACTTATCATGATTGGGTGACGTGTAATCTACATCCAACAACTTCTGTCTCTGGAAAACATTCTCGTAAACTTGAATGGATGGCCATCTCAAAGTCTACAACAACCGTTTTAGGGCGTAACATATAACCGCTTTGAATAGAACATTCCTGAAGTAAATGAAAAAGTTGCGTGTACTTATTTCGTATCTTATTAGGTAGCAAGCAAAAGACAATAGGCACATAAATGTCATTGGAATAGGAATGGATTGCAAATAATTGTAGGAAGTAATTTGTGCAAAAATCAAATGTTCCATCCATGAATAATGTCTCTTTTGTTCACACAAAAATTTTATATTTTTCTCGCGCGAAAATACCACGATATTTTCCTCTAAAGTAGTATGAAATCTAATCGAGTCCAGGAAGTCGTGGACCTCTGTTATGGAATGCGGCAACTTTGGAATTAATTTAAGTTTGGTATAACTTATGTTATTTCGAATACACTTTACGTCTTTAGATGTTAATGTTTCGACTGCCGATTTTTGATAATTTAATTCCTTGTTAATTAGTTTTGAAGGCTTTTCAAAAACAAGAGCATCATCGCATTAAGTCATTAGCAGGAATTAAGTTGTGATTGTGATATCCAGTTATTTTCGAGAAGATGTCATCAGCTTCACCCACAGTATACAGCTTCATAGTGAACTCTTTTTTAATGCATCTCCAACACATTTCTCCTGTACTTTTCACTTGCCGATATTTATAAAAAAGATGTCCTTCATATAATATTAAAGGTTTGCCACGTTCACTTAACATTTTATTCATTATCACAAGTCGCGTATCTTTAACAATTGGTTATAAACTACAAACTAAATGTTATTGAAAACAGGAATTATATATAGGAAAATTTTGTTTAAATGGGTATAATAAGGTTTTAACACTACTGTAGTATTAATGTCATTAGGATTGGGATTTAAGTAATCAATTAATCATTGTATGTAAATTGTTATTACATAGGTACCTGCGGCTTTTGTATATTACAAATAAATAAGAAAAGTTCCAGGTATTTCAACTGTTAACAATAAAATGTAATACCTTGGTGATTATTCTAGGAGGTGAAAATATTTAGTAAAAATACATTATTTCAACAATCTCAAATTCTAAAAATTATCGTCTCTTAACCTGGGTACCGACCTTAGCCTTCGTAGCGGAATTCGGTGAGGAGATTAAATATCTTCCAGCCACCAAAACAAATCAACCTGACCGTAGCACCGACTTTGATAACATTTATAAACATTGTGAATCCTCCTAAGATGATAGGCACCTCCTAGCTCGTGAGCCAGCCTACAGATTTAATGTATTTGACAACGTCGCCAAAAGGTGGCTCTTTGATATCGGCCGGTGTTAGCCGATACTCGCGAACACAAATCTCCTAATAAATTAGAGCGTCGAGCAATCGTATGATATGGATATGCTTCCTTACTTGGCAATGACCAGTCAGAATTCCTGCGACTAGGCACATATTCTGTGTAGTCATAGTCAAGTATGTGTTTGCTGCAGTGTTGTCAGGATAACTTAAAAGCTCCCTGGCAATTCTGGAGTTCCTTGTTTCATCCCATTTTTCCTTGAATTTTACAAGGGAATGTTCTTTAATTAGATCTGTTGCTACCGATTTTGTCAGGCTAATTGAAGGGCCATGTCCATGGCCAGTGAATCAGCAAGACGGTTACATTTAGATGTGGCGTAAACTTTAATCCGTCTTAAGGTGACTACGTTGTTGATGGGTACTTCCGCCAAAGCTTCGTGACATTCTAGTACCAACCCTGAGTAAATTCTTGGTCTGTTCAGGGTGAGTAGTGCTTATCGCAGCGACAGTTTAGCTTAAAATAAAAGGTATTACAAATATCGTTGAGTGCAGTAAAAGATACAAAAATTACAAACAAAAATGAATTTATACTACATGTTAAATGCAGAAAGAATTCGTGACAGTACCGTGAAAGCTGCAGAACATAACAAAAAAGAGAGATTTCTTCACAAGAAAGAAAAACTAGAGGCAAGTCTTAATTATTTTTTGACTTCAAATAATTTTGTTTGTTTTGTGATACCAAATATATTACAAAGAAATACATTAACTCAAAAAAGCTACGGCAAGTGGAAAAGTTACAAATAATACAAACTATTGAGTCACGATGTTTACTTAGAAAAGATGAATGGTCAAATGAAGTATTTAGACGAATATGCACCACAAATGACCTGGTAGCTGATGCAGACGCCAATTATCATAAGAACTGTTGTACAATTTTTTTTAGAGGAAAGTCAGACAAAACTTCTGGTCGCCCTGTTGATGACACATGTCAACTTGCGTTTAGGCAGGTTTGCAACTATATTGAAAATTCAGATGAATATTGTCAGTTTTCATTAACAGATTTGGAGACAAAGATGTAAGATATCAGCGGAAAAGACAAAAACTGGTGTGTACATGAAAAAATAAATTGTTGGATTATTTTGGTGAAAAAAATATCACCAAGAAAATTCCATGTAAGGGAAAAAGTCATCAGTTGCTCTCAGATAAGTGGTTTGAAAGTAGAAAAAGTGCTATGGTGGCTGAACATCTCAGAATTGTGAAGGCTGCAGCTGCTATTGTACGAGAAAGAATAAGATGGTTAATGTATGATGTTAAAAAATATCCTTCTACGGAAAGTATTATGGACGAAGTGGTATTACCAGAGACTTTGTCAAAATTTGTTAATTCTTTACTCCCTAAAAACACATTTGATTACAAGTCGATTCCTCTACAAGATTGTTAATGCCTACTCATTTTTTTTTCTTTAATATTTTTTGTTTTTGTACAATTTTAAATTGGGTTTAAATGGATTTGTTTTGACTTTTTATTATTATTAATAAACGCTGTATCTTAAACATTAATTTGCTGATATTTTTTACCAAGATCTCTAAATTTGTATGTAAAATTTAAGAAAATTCTAATATTTTATAAGTTTGGACGCTTGTTTATAGTTTGTAGATACTTCGTTTTCATACCATTTTATAGGGAATTTAATTTAAAAAACAAAAGGTCTCTTGTCATTTTTTCGAAAACCTGTAACGTGATACTTGATATTTTATCTATTTGTTATAATGTGTTTAGGCTCAATTGAATGGGCGTGGATAAGGTCATTAAATAACTCGGATAACTTTGAAAAAGAAGTTGAGCACCACTATATTTAAAACTTATTATACTTGACTTTAGATTGGTGATAAAAATATAGAAAATCACTAACCACTAACAAATTATATTTAAACCGTGTTTTAGATAAGGTAGTAGCAAATTCTATTTCACATAGTTTTACTAAATTCAAATTTGAGATGATTTATTTAAAAGTACTTATCTTTACTTAAAAGAAGGTAATATAAGGAATGTTTAACGCATGGTATATCTTCAGGCAACTTCAAGGGGATTCGGTATCCTTATTCTTAATTCTGGAACTTGAATGATATCGTGAAATTTGGTATTCTAACTTAAACTCGAAGGTGTAGATCTTCTATAGATGAACCAAACCACGGTCTTCAGATTGTACCAAACTTATAAGTATAAAAGCCATAAAACTTTTTGATAGAAATTTAAAACGTCTAGATATAAATCCAAATAAACTGTCTTAAAAGGAATTCAGAACTTCTAGATATAAATCCACATAAACCGTCTAGATATAAATCCAAATAAACCGTCTAGATGCTAAAAAGAAAGGGACATGTTATGACAGAAAATAGGAAATTTGAACAGGATTTAGATAAAATGCTTTCAACTATTAAATGAACAATTTAAAACTATTAAATGAATAATTTCACATAGACTAAAATTAATATGAAAAGGAAAAATCTTATTTAACATATTTAAACATAGTAAAGCATATTATCTTATTCCAAACAAAATAATATAAATTTTTTTATAAAACCCACATGTTTTACCCATTGTTGAGGTTATGTTCCAAATTTGACATTTTATTTAAGAAATTCTTGTACAACAACATATCAACAATATATTAGTATTAAAACTTACCTTATAAAATCATACGAAATATACGATATATAAAAATTATTTACTACATTGGATGACCAAGATATATTAAAATTCAAATCAACTTGATTCGTTGAGAAATTCAAATCAAATGAAATACCAACTGTCAACACAAGGAATAAACGACAAATAACATTTGAGTAGAGGTGATTGTGTTGAAATAACGAATAACGGTTCCAACCGTTAGGAACCTTGATTAAAAAAATTCCAAAGCAAAACTGTTAATTCGCACCTTTAGGGGTGGTTTTGAGGTAGTTCATTTCCTCATAGGTATGAGGATTTTTAGATACATATTAAACACCTTCTATTCAGTAGCACAATGTAGGTATTAGCTTGTCCCAAATTAGTTTAAGGTTGACTCCCAATTTTGGTCAAAAAAACAAAAGTGTAAGGTGTATGTATTCAGGTATATTACAATTTTTTAAAGATTTACATAGGACAATCCGTTCGACCCATAGCGCTCGTGAAATGACAGTAGTGTAAAACATAAGAGCGGGGCTTACAACAACAAGACATGCTCTCTTAAGGACGCTCTAGGGGAAAACTATGGTAATACATGGGGTTTATATCACAAATATCCTCAAGATAAAGACTTAATAAACATTTTTTATTTTAGACTAGATGTTTGCGCAGCGTTTCCATAAAATCGATTTTTTAATGAGCCGTAAAAAATTCCAACTAGATAGCCACTAGGGAGCAATTGAAATGGGATGAACAATAGAACATCGAATTGGTACTAAAATTTGTAGATTTTTTCTCAACTAATCCCTTCTAAACGTTTAATTGCTTAAAATGTTAGGAAAACTATCAATAAGAAATCAGAATAAGATTTCAGAACAATACGCTGTTCAAGAAAAAAGCTACCTACTCTGTTTTATATGCGCTTACTGAAAATGTACATAAATCAAGCACCTACTTGAAATGGCATATGCGAGTCTTTTAAAGAAAAGTTGAAAGTATGAGTACTTAGTTACCAACACCGATGTATGAGAGACCGAAAGAATATTTCATTCTAGTTGGGAACTGTAAAGAAGCAGCATCTGGAAATAATGATATTAATACGGAAAAGAGAATCTCGAAATGATTTATCGATTGCTTTTGAAGGACGTATTTTATCTCACGTTGAAAAACAACGAGCCGATATTGATACATCTACGGAATCTTGGAACTTCTCTCTAAGAAAAGCGAAAACAATAATAGGTATTTATGAAAAAAGCTGGAAATCCACGATTTTTTAAAGAAGTATTTTATCATTATTTACTCTAATTATTTAGTTTTCGTAATTTCTTATCTTGATTATTTATAGATCATCTACTTTTAAAATTATTTCCCATTTTTTTAACGAGCTGGTTTTAATAAAAATTATTACCCAAAGTAGTTTATTGATTTAACAATTTAAATAAATAAACAAATTAACAGTGATGAAAGAGATGTAGAAATTAAGAAGTGATTGCAAATAGACCTTACTTACACATTTGCATTAAATTAAATTACTAACTTGAAAAAGGAAATTTTCTTATAGCACTCAATAGTAGTTGGTAAAACACGAGCAGATATGATGGCCATGTCGGACGAAGACGAAGTTTAAACACGACACCGTAGGCGGACAATCCACTAGAGTTGTAAAGTATATTTTTCCTACGACACAATAAAGAAAATATACAAAATTTTAAAAATTAATTTAGAGGTTATTAACTATTTTAAAGATAACTACGACAAAACATTTTCAATTAAGATTTAGACTAATACTAAAATAAACCTAAAAAGAATGGTTTCAGTCAGAATTTAAACCCTGGTCCTTAGAACGGGAAAGCTTTACTCAAACTATTGCGTTAATAACTTTATATATTTTTTGCTTAACATTTTTAAATTGTGAATTAGATAGTTTTATTAAAATTTACAGTGACTTGTAAATATAAACAAATATCTAGTGGATTCTGATTATTATCAAGAATCACACATTGTAACGTCAAATTAATGTGACACAAAAGTTCGGTTGTCCCAGATATCAACCTTGTGGCTCCGGTTCACTCTAGTTGTGATGGGAGTGGGTGATTACTTTGTAATCTGGGAAAAATACTAAATTTTTGATGTTGGGTTGAACGCCAAGTAGATCTTTGAAATTGAACCTTTTTAAATCCAGATAAGTCCTACTAATTAGATCTTGTTTATTTAAAATTCGGAAAACATTTTGTCTTTCCCCTTGCCTTGAGTTATTGACCTTCACAATCCCTGTATAAATATTGTAATTCGTATCAACAAATGATTTGATTTCAAAAGGTCTTTATTTACAATATTTACAAGTGGTTTTTTTATAATAACATTCTATGTACATAAATAAAAGGATTTCTTCTCATTGCTGCGTAAGAGAAGTGTTCTCTTTTGTGTGGCCTTCGAGCGAGACCACGACCGATGTTAGGGTCGCGTAAATAAAAGTTATTATTAATAAATTTTGATTGGTTTAGACTTCTCCTTGTTGAGAACAACATTATAAGTCAATTTTTAATGAGCTTACTAGAACGATAATGGTACAGTTATGAGTTTTTGTTGATTTTAATTTTGTCTGTCTTCCCTGAAAAACCGTTAGTAAAAAACAGGGTTGTCCTTGTATGTAAGTGTGTCTTGTGGTAGTTTAGTGCATGAAAATTCAAATCACAAAACAACACAGCAACATCACCGTCCAATACTAAAATCGCGGCAAGCCACGAATTTTCGCATTTTTCTGTGACGTCACCGTGCAGTCCTCCGTCCGACCAGTGTTGCTAGCTAGTCGACGTTGTGATTTGAGTATTCAGTGGGGTTTACGTTATGGAGGATGTATGTCAATTGTTGAATTTAATTTTGATCCTGTATGGTCCTTTACGCGTATTGTGGATTTTAATGTAGAATTTACTGTCTTGTACGTGTTTAGTTTTTGTTTGTTCCTTGAATCAAGTTCAGTTCCTTAAGTTGAAATTAACGTCGACGTTCGTCATGAACGCATTATATGTTTCTATTATTTGTTGTCCGGTGTTGCAATTTCTGAGTTTAGCGTTCAGTTCTCTGACCGCTCTAGTAAGCTCACTAATATTGACTAACCTGTTGAGTATAGCAAACTCGTTATTAAGTTCAGCGAATTCGGTCGATAGTCCGCTGGTGGCATTCATTCTTGGCCTCTCATTGGTTGTTTTCATGTCTTGGTTTGCTTCGTTAGTAGTCTTGGTGGGCAGGGCCGGAAATTCATTGTTCATAGTACGATTTTGCTGCCTGGCTTCCCATTGGTTTATTTGAGGTTTTGGGGCGGGGACAAATTTTACTTGCTGCCTGGGTCGTCGCTCTTCAAGTTTTTCGAGTTTGGCAAGGTACGTACTACATTTTGAATAGTTTGCGGGGTGATCACCCCCACAATTGACACACGTAGCCGGAGTGTCACGAGTCTTGGTGCATGTTCGCGTGTGGTGACCACCCGCGCATTTGAGACATTGTGACGGTCTGCCGCAATTAGCAGTGGCATGCCCCCATTGCTGGCAATTGTGACATTGTATTATTGCTTTTGCGGATTTTCTGAGCTCCCACGTAACCCTGGTGTGGAGGAGTCTTCGTACATTTTTGTTCAGATATTCCAGGGTTATCGCGGGATCCGTCACAACCAGGAACAGGGGCCTGTCTTTCGTGTTCATCTGATACACTTCTCTTGTTTTTATTTCGTGGTCATCCTCTAAACCTTCTTCAATATCTGTGATTTTGGTACCTGTT